GGAAAGAGTCGAAGGCAGGTGTCCGCACGTGGGGACCGGGCTAGGAGGTCTTTCCTGAGTGGGTCCTCTGGTGCCTGATTAAGTGGTAGCCTCTGCTGAAGCTCTTCCCGCAGGTGGGGCACGTGAACGGCTTCTCACCAGTGTGTGTTCTCTGATGCCTCACGAGGTGGTCTCTCCGACCGAAGCTCTTCCCACACTCGGTGCAGCGGCAGGGCCTCACTGAGGCGTGTCCCCTCAGGTGCTTGGCAAAGGCGGCGCTGTGGTTGAAGCAGCGCCCACACTCGCTGCACAGATACAGCTCCTCGGCCGCGTGCGTCTTCCGGTGGGCCAGGTACCGCCTGTGGTCACTGAAGTCCTCTCCACACTCTCCGCACAAGTAGGGTTTGCCTCCAAGGTGGATTCTTTGGTGTGTTGTGAGCACGGATTTCTGGCTGAAGCTTTTGCCGCAAATAGTACAGAAGAAGGGTTTCTCTCCCGTATGTGTCCTCTGGTGCCTGACAAGGTCTGAAGTCCAGCGGAAGTGTTTCCCACAATCGTCACACCTATAGGGTTTCTCAACAGGTGGAGTTCTCACAACCTGGACCAGAGGGGAGGTTTCATGCAGATTCTTCCGGTTTAGGGGATATTTATAAGGAGCGCTCATTTTGTGGACCTTTTGGTGCCTGGCGAGATGTGAGCTCCGTGTGTAACTTTTCCCACACTCCATACATTTATAGGGTTTCTCTCCTGTGTGAGTTCTCAGGTGTCTAACAAGGTGGGAGTTACAAGTGAAACTTTTACCACATACAGTACAGTTATGATGTCTCCCTAACAGGGGGTGGACAGGCATGGTTTCCTGAAGATTCGTTAAACTATTAACTTGAGAAATATTTGTGCCAAATCTTCTTTCGTTAAGTCTACCTGGATCACCCTCAAAGACTATTTCCCAATCTGGAGTCTGGTGAATTTCTGCATCTCCCAAGATAGACCTGTGTAGGTCCTCCAAGCTCAGATCTGCTTGCTCAGGACACTCCTCATCTTCACTCCTATCTCCTGTAGAAAGGGAGAGAGGAGAAAAGAGGAAATTATAGAGGTAATGATGCCTTGTGCACAATGGAGAGATTTTCAAACGGTTTTGGGAGGGCAAGACCGTATAGAGAGAGACCCATGTTTCTTAAGTGTAGAGGCTGGGAAGAAGGAAATAACCAGTCAACTGAATGGCTGTCGTGTGCCAGACACTTTCTTATATGCTCTCTCACGCTGTAAACAGCCTTCGTGTGGGCAAACATTATTATCCTCCTTTCACAAATACGGAGGTTGGGGATCAAGGGTTTACATGAATGCTTAAAAAATGGTATAGCTCCAATTCCAAAAGTTCCCCTTTTTTGTCTGTCACCATTTTGCAGTACAGATCCCTCAAAGCAATGATAGGCGTGAAGAGGGGAAAAGGATAGAAGAATTTGGCTTCAGAGGGAGACAGTGCTGTCGGCTGACATGTTAGAAGAACCAGTGAGAGGGGTTCCCCAGAGGGCGAGAGAAACACTGACCAGAGGAACTGCCAGCTCGGGGGACACATTCCCTTTGTCACTCCTCACCTGTGTAGGTGAAACTCAGGATTTCTGGCTCTTGAGGCTCCTGTGCCTCTGGGATCTCTGGGATCAAAGGCTCTTCTCCCATGTGGGAGATCTCGTCTAGTCTGGGGATTGGAAATGCTGCTCAAGAGAGGGAAAACAGGACATCACGATTGGTTCAACTGTTCCCCATGTCAAGAGCAGATCTTTTCTGTTTGGCAGATTGCAGAACAATCACATAGGCAGGTCAGTCCATCAAACCTTCAGTCTCTTTAGCTTGAGCACCTCTGAGGAGTACTGCATATCTCTTGCCTTTCACCAGCAACTCAATAATCACACAGCTGTCAATGTTACCCTCTTTTCCCATATTCAAGTAAGTAGATTGTCTCCAACTTTTATTGCTTGTTTCAAAACTGACATGCTTACCTACTCACACTAAACTTAAACTCATACTAAAACTATAGTATTACAGCTGTTTTCTTATTAGAGGTTTCCAACTACTTTCTAGGCATTTTCTCTTCCCTCTAACTTCAAAGGACACCATCTTCCTCGGCTGTCCTTAAGTGTCACTGGTGGGGTCGGCATAAGAGAAGTGTAGTACATACAATCTAAGGTCTAAGACACCCTCAATTTCCAACAAGAAAAAGATCTCTGTGCTCAGGACACTCTAGAAACACTTGAAATTCCTTACACAAGGAGACCACAATTCCGCAGTCTTCTTCCAAGACATATTCCCCATAGAACTCTTTCTGTGTTGGATCCAGATCACTCCACTGGTCCTGGGAGAAGCATACAGCCACATCCTTGAAAGTTACCAATCCCTGAAACAACACAAAGATTCTACTAAAATGTCATGCTTTATGGAGCCTCATATTTTGTTCCTGGAATAAAGGTCATTGGTACAGGCAGAATCCATCCAGGAGACAAAGAAACTCAAATGGGACACTTGGTTCCCTTTCAGGACATCTGAGTTTCATCCTGTAGCTGCTTCCCAAGTTTCCGCTTTTGCAACTGGCCCGCTTCCTGCTCCCTCCAATCCCACTACGTTCCCTCAGCACTAGCCTATGTTCTTCTTTCTGAGGATACTGTTTAAAATACAAGAAAGGTCTTAGAAGTCACCATTCAACTCCCTATTTTACACTTTAGTGCCACCTACATTTCTGCAAAAATTCATCTTTTCCAGGAAGCTTCCCCTAACTGGCCTTACCTAATCACACATCACTTACATAGTCTATACAGCATAAACAGGACTTTCTTCTTCAGCTTGACTACAATCTAAAAATAAGGATGGGGGGCTTCCCTGGTGGCACAGTGGTTAAGAATCCGCCTACCAATGCAGGGGACACGGGTTTGAGCCCTGGTCCAGGAAGATCCCACATGCCGTGGAGCAACTAAGCCCGTGCGCCACAATTACTAAGCCTGCACTCTAGAGCCCGCGAACCACAACTACTGAAGCCCACGAGCCACAACTACTGAAGCCCGCGCACCTAGAGCCCGTGCTCCGCAACAAGAGAAGCCACTGCACAGCAACGGAAGAGTAGCCCCCGCTCGCCGCAACTAGAGAAAGTCCACATGCAGCAACGAAGACCCAATGCAGCCAAAAATAAATAAATAAATTTATTTTAAAAAATAAATAAATAAGGATGGGGACTTCCCTGGCGGTCCAGTGGTTAAGACTCCACACTCCCAATGTAGGGGGCACGGGTTTGATCCCTGGTCAGGGAACTAAGGTCCTGCATGCCACGCAGCGCGGCCAAAATAAATAAATAAATAAATAAATAAATAAATAAAATAAAAAATAAGGATGAATTCTATTCCTTTTTTCTCCAGCCACATAGCTTAGTTGTGGGGCTCTTGACCATGGTGAAGTCTTCATGAATGCCATGGCCTGACTGAATGCAGTCCCTGGAAGAGGATAGCACCCAAAATCAGAAATCGTTTTTGCAGGACAGTCAGTTATCCTTACAAATGACGATCAAGTTTGTTCCTTAAAACCAAAAACAAACCCTCACTTGACAACTTCAAAGTTGTACTGGGGTGTTACCAAATAATCCCACTTTGTTAGTCCCTCTGGTTGGTGGCAAATCAAAAGGCTCTGGAGCCTGTAGATCCGACTGAGATGTTATAACTGATCTCATTAGCTGCAGTTCCTCCCCTTCCAGACACATGCAGAACTGAGAACTTAAACTGGCAAAGGAGAGTGGAAACTTGTGTCCTGTCTGACCTGTTCAGGGTATATGCCCAACGGTTCCTCAAATTCTCCATGGTATAGACAGAAACTAGGGTGCACCTGTGATAGAGCAGTAAGAAGGGCAACCATCTCTGGGTTTCCAGGGCTCCTCTCTTCAGGAAGGGCTGGGTCCTGGGGCACTGGAACCTCTAAGAAGAAAAGAAGGCAGACATCAGCAGTGTGCAGGGCAGCCCTAAAACTGGCAAACAGCTGAGCATCCCCCATGGTCTCTGGTGGGAAGGTGGGAGTCAAGACACAGGCCTAAGGGCGGCTTGAGTCATCCCAACGCCACCACCTGTAACACTACGGGAATGCCAGGAGAATAACCAACAAAAGTGCTATCCAAGGTAGCCCTGCTTACGGGTGCTCTAGCTAGTACTGCCTCCTCTCAACACCCTGTGCTCTGTGGTTTCCTCCCCTTATGATCTAGCCAGCCTCCTCGGTATGGGAGCAATATCCCCCTCCCCTCACTCTGCCACGATCCCCCCT